ATTAGGGGAGACTACATGGCCCTCCCCTCCCTCTCCTATGAGGGAATGTCAAGAGTTCACAGGCCCAGTTGTGATGGGTTCTTGAAAGGAAGCATAGATGATCTGATGAAGATGGCATGTGCTTCACTTGGAGGGCCATGTTCTACAACACGTACTCACAAACACATGTGTGCTTACACATTCATAACATGTATTCATACACACACAAGCTTAGCTGTTGTTACTGTTCTTAGCCATGCCCTCTGGTCATCCATTGGATGACTTATATCTCAGCTACTGATTATTATTATTATTATTTTGAGACAGGGTGAGACAGGGTTTCCTTGTATTGTTTTTGAGCCTGTCCTGGCACTCACTCTGTAGACCAGACTGGCCTCAAACTCACAGAGATCCACCTGCCTCTGCTTCCAGAGTGCTGTGCGCCACCAACGCCGAGCCTTACTTGTTTTAGAGATTTGGCTCTGTAGCTGGTAGTCAGCTATTATACTCAGGGGAAAAATATGTATTGAGAACCACAAAGATATATATTTATATAACTGTATTAAGGGGTGCTATGGGGTAATAGACTCATGGATACAGGACAAGGTATAATCAGTTGCAGAGTCCTTTCATTTTGTCCAAAGAGGCTGGGAACCAACCACACAATGCTTCACACCACCTGACCCAGTCTCCACAACCCAAGCCAGCACATGACCCCCTTTTTCTCCTTTTCATCAGTCAAGTCCATGCCCTAAATCTGGTACCCCAAAGCTATTGGTGAAATGAATTCCCACAATAAAGAAATCCCTCTGTATGTCTACAGTTCATTGTGAGATTCCTGAAGGATATAGCATCATCTGTTTCCAGAACCTGGAGCCCAGCCCCCAAAGTTCTGTGTAACCCTCAAAGATATCCCACCTATGGCTGGATGTGGTGCTGTACACATTTAATCCCAGCACTTGAGAGGCAGAGGCAGATGGATCTCTGTGGGTTAGAGGCCAGACTGGTCACCACAGTTCTAGGCTAGTCAGGGCTACACAGTGAGGCCCTGTCTCAGAAAACAAAACAAAACAAAATTTGTTCCACTCTCAGTCTACCATGTTCTCAAACATGATTGAGGCCTCCCATCCTCTTGCTGAATGCTTCCCATGCTTACTGGCAGGCTGGCCTTCAAAGACCACCACTACAACCCCAGAGTCCTTGAGTGTGCACAACAAGGTTTTTATACAACACCCCCATCCCTCACCCCCTCCCCACAACAACTCCAGTATATACCTGTATTTAGATTGTTCCTTTCCTCAAAAGGACATTGGTCTTCTGGAACCATTATTCTTCAGAGGACTTGCCAGAAGACTGGCCTTCAAAGGGGATGTGTATATGACCCCTCGCATAAGAACTTCGCCCCTCCCCCACTTCCAGATTCTTTTGTATCACACCCATGGCCTTCATCCTGGAAGCACATTCCCTATCCGTGATCAGAGAGCTTTCCAAAAGACTTTCAGGGTCTTCTGCTCCCTTCCCACATTCCCACGTATGTTACTGTGGTCAACAACTTCTGGTTACAGATTGGGACCCGGAGTGCTTGTAAAATGCTCATCCCAGGTTAGAGTCACATGATTGAGACTGCTAACACAAAGGACCAAGAACTGGGTGGCTTAGAGCAATAGAGATCAACTTCCCTTGGGTGTAGACATTGGAAGTCCAAAGCCTGGTGTCTGTTGAGCCAGGATGGCTGGAGATTCTAAGGCAGGACACTTCTATGCCTCCCGCCAAGCACTCCTTGGCTTGTGACCACCTGCTTCCTATCATGCCCCCTCTGTGCTTGCCTTGTGTCCAGGTGCTCCTTGTCTCATAAAGACATCAGCCTTCTTGGGTTGGCTGGCCACCATACTGCAGGGACAGTACACTCACTGGCAGGATGGCCTTCAAGGATCACTACTAGTACTTTAGAGTCTGAGGTCTTTCCAAGTAAGGTCCCCTGAGGGGACACTGTTCAATCTGTAACATTCACTTGTAGGCAAACCTGCCCTGGCATGAGCCTTTTGAGTTTTACTGTAACCTGTTTTGAGATGACTAGCAGCTAGTCTTCACCCTTAGCTTTGAAGAAATATGATTTTTTTTTTAAAGAAAAACACTATAAAAGTAAAGTTGACAACTGTGTGACAAGTAAAGATTGCACACACAATTTATGAACTCTTTCTGAACCAAGCTCCAAGATGCCAATTTTCACTCCATTATCTTAAAACCTTAGTTACTTTTCCAGTATTCTCCCAGGGATTATGCTGCACCATCCTCCATTTGCCAAACTCTAATGTCGAATGTATTCTTTTACTTCTTCACAAGGAGTGGCTGGGCCTGAAGACATTTGATGCTGTTTACTCCCCTCCCAGTAGAAAGGCTTCTTCTTTTGCATATTTTAATTTGATTTCTATATTTTAAACCCTACAAAGACTTTTTGTTATTTTGTGTGCTTATTATACTTTTGGACCTGTTTGTAGCTTTTATTTTTATTACTTACTACATTTTAAGATTTAATTAATATGGACAGTTGGTTGGGTACAAGCCTCATGGTGCATATGTGGAGAGCAAAGGACCTTCTACTCTGTGTAGCTCAGGGGTTGAACTTAGGTAGTTAAGCTTGGCAGCAAGGACCTATATCCTCTGAGCCATCTTACTCCCCTTACCTTTATTTTTTGGAAACAAGGTCTTGCTACATATCTTTGGTAAGAGGCACCAGGAAAATTATTGTGTTAATAAAAGGTGAAATGCCAACTCTTGAACAGACATAAATGAATCCATACTCTGCTGGGACACTGTGGTTCTCAGAAGTTGCTGCTAGTCAGTGTATGGATTAGAACGAACAGTGGCGGATGTTTGCAAGAAGGCTTTAGGAGCAGTATCTACTTGAATGGAAGCACAGCTAGCCTTGCAGGAACTTGATGTGGGGATGGGAAGAGATGCAAGCTCCCATGAGTTTTCAATGCCTAGATTATCACATGGCCTTTATTTTGGGACTACCTCACTAGCTAGTGAGATTAAACCCTTTCTCCTGCCTTCACTTCATGGATGCTAGGATGTACTATCATGTCTGGCCTACATAGACTCTTGAGAACACTTCTTTATTCACTTCTGGATACCTGGAGCCTCTCTCTCTCTCTCTCTGTCTCTCCTCTCTCTCAAACACACACACACTGCTGGTTAAGGCCCTCTGTCCCTCTGAATGCATGTTGTGTTGCTAGCTTTTGGTCATCCTGACACAAGCTAGAGTCACCTGAGAAGAGGGAACCACATTTGAGAAAATGTCCCTATCAGATTGGCCTATAAGCAAGACTGTGAGGCATTTTCTTGATTGATGAGTGATATGAAGAGCCCATCCCATTATGTGTGGTGCCACCCTTGGGCAGATGTCCCAGGGTTGTATAATAATGCAAATCGAGCAAGCCAGGAGAACCAGCCAACAAGCAGTGTCCTCCATGTTCTCTGCTTCCTTCCATGATGGACTACAACCTAAGTGGTGAAATAAACCCTCCCCAGCACCCAAGTTGTTTCCGGCTCTATTCTTTATCTAAGCAATAGGAAGTAAGTTAAGAGTCATGTACCCCTTATCAACATGGGTGTCACTCATCAACATGCCTGTGGCTGGAAACAAGACACCCCTGCCAGGATGAGGCATGATCAGCAGCCTAGTACCCACCACTGGACCACAGTTTCTTCAGCTCAGTCCAAGTTCTTCTTCAGTGTGGCTTGAAGACGTGTGTGTGTGTGTGTGTGTGTGTGTGTGTGTGTGTGTGTGTTGTAGAGCATTCTCCTCAGAGCATAACAGACTTCATTTTCCTCTAAGCAGTTGTGAATACTTGAACATCCTTCCACCCCCACCCCCCCTCCCCCCCAGATATCTGGCCTGTTTCCTTACAGATGTTTCCTTACAGATGTTTCCTTACAGAAGGAGTGAGCCAGGAGAGTCATTGGATTCTCATCTCAATTCTGGCCACTCCCTCCTGCAATCCCCATAAGTAATCCTGCCCTAATTGCATGTGGTCTCTGGAGGTCCTAGAGTAGTGGGCTGTAGAAGAGTAACTGAAGAGGGCTCCCTTTATCTAATTAGGAGAGCTCATCCATACTGGGGTAGGACTTTGCAGTGGTGTGGCTGCTCTGAGGTCACCCATTTACACAGGCTCTGTAACTAAGTCTGATAAAGTCATTTGTCCCCCAAATTTGCAGTAGAATTGTAGTTTGTTGGTTGCTCTAAGGAGGGGTAGATATTTATTTCTGTCTCACCAAGGAAAGAGCTGTGGAAATAGTATTTAACTCTTCTGATTGGTCAGCTACCAAGGTACCCTGTATGGAAAAGATGGGCAAACACAAAAGCCCAAGCCAGAACCTAGGTTGAAGAAGCACACTTAAAATGTGTCTCTTAAATATCTTTGAAACTGCCCTGTGTGACTCCAAGTCAGGCCAAGAGATCTGGAACTAACTCTATTGCTTTTGGCTATAGATAGGTTAGGATGAGTGTCTTGCAGGAGTCCATGGTTGTGCCTGCCTCACCTGTTTCTACCTCTGGTCTTTTCATACAAGCAGTTATGATACCAGACTCATGGATGCCTCTTAAGAACAAGCAGGCCTCTGCTGTGTTGGATGTCCAGCTTCAGCTGAGTGTGGAGAAAGGGTCAAAGTCCGCAGATTCTTGCAGAAGTCTGTTGGGACCAGAGCCCATTTTGGTTCACTGACTTCTTCATGAGCACAAGTCATGAGAATGCTAACCACCCCAGCAGCAGGGTTGATTCCCCGCGGATCCTGACTTGTACTAGGCAGTGTGTGTGTGTGTGTGTGTGCAAGCCAGGGGAGAAATGAAGGCTTCCAGGCTCCAGTTAAGGCTTCATGTCCCCCTTGCATGCGCGTGTCCCCGTGTGCATAGACCCCAACAAGCATCAGGCCTGGGCATCCTCGCAGCCAGATAGCCCGGGGCACGGGGCCCCAGGCGCAGCAGCTCCTTGCAGGGCGGAGGGCGGCGCGAGGGAGGGAGCGAGGGACGGGAAAGGCGAGCGAGCTGCCTCAAATGCCTGGAATAATTCCGCTTCCGTTTGGAAAGCCGCAGCCTCAGTCCCGCCGCCGCCCGCCGCGGCCGTTCAGCTCCAGCTCCGCGTCCCGCCGCCATGGCCACCTCCCCGCAGAAGTCGCCCTCGGCCCCCAAATCTCCCACTCCCAAGTCGCCTCCGTCCCGCAAGAAGGATGACTCGTTCTTGGGGAAACTCGGAGGGACGCTGGCCCGGAGGAAGAAAGCCAAGGAAGGTAGGAACGACCGAGGCCGCGAGCACTGCGGGGACCGGGGAGCCTGGAGGTGGGGGACCTCCTGGCAGTGCCCCGGCGCGCATCGCGCTGCCACCGCTGTCTCCTTTCGGGGCCCGGACCGGGCCGGTGTACTCGCTGAGCCACAGACGGAGCCCAGGCTTAGGGCGATTGTGGTCACAGAGCCCAGGCCCAGCCGGTCCCCTGCGCCCTCCGCTAGGCCCCTGTCCCCGCCCTCTGCGCGCCCGAGGGCTGGCATTTGCGAAGTTGCTGCTGGAAAGTTTTCTCCCGCTCCGTCACTCCCAGCTCTTTGCCTTCATTGGTCTCTGCAGCACCGTCGTTTCCCGGGCGCCTTCAGGTCCTTTACTGCAGGGGCGCTGCCCTCCTTGGATCTCTCGCCGGTCCCCTGGGCTTGTGTGGACAGTGATGATTTGTATCAAATGTTTGTTGACAATGAGAGAAGAACGTGTCGTTGTGGAAGGAGGGACACGCGCTATACCTAAGGACCATGACCCTGCTGTGAATCCAGGCTTTCCATTTTGAGCTTTTATTTAAACAAACAAACAAACAAACAAACAAACCCAATCAAAACAACAAAACCCACTTTCTTTTTCCAATCTTGGTGAATCGGAGCAATCTCTCTCTCTCTCTCTCTCTCTCTCTCTCTCTCTCTCTCTCTCTCTCTCTCTCCCTTCCTCCTTTCCTCCTTCCCTCCCTCCCTCCCTCTCTCTCTTCCTCTCTCTCTCTCTGTTTCCAAAATAGTTTCTGTATAAAATACTTTGTCCTGTAGGCAGAATTAGCAACTTGCTTTTGGGTATGTGAAATGAAGTGATGATTCTCAAAAATCAGTGTGGTGATAGAGCTATAGGGTTAAAAATGTTTTCTTTTTCAGCAGCCTTGAGATGGAACCGAGAGGGCCTTGGATCTATTGCACCAGTACCACCCTCTTGTTGCTTTTGTTTTGAGACACTAAGTTGCCAGCCAGCTTGAGCTTATTTTGTAGCCCAGGCAGGACTTTGTGGTCCTCCTGCCTCAGCTTTCAAAGAAATTGGGATTGCAGGCCTGCCCTACCAGATCTGGTTTGCTATTGGTTGATTGTTCTTGGATGTTGGTCTTGGGGCTTCAGTGATGTTAGGCAAGTATTCTACCACTCTGTTGTATCCCAAGCCCCCAGATCATTTTGGGAGACCAATTAGGAGTGGATGTGAGGTGATGAATTTGGAAATGTCTCACGTTCTTAGTCTCCTATAGTATGGAAGCCACTTTGCTGTTTAATTATCAAACTCAATGCAAGAGCTAAGTGTTTTCTAGATTGCAGCAAGAGTCTACAAGCCCCTCCCCCTCCATTAATGTTATAGCTGGTTCCCTCTTATCTGTAGGGGAATTGCTCCAAGCTGCCCAGCAGATGCTGTACTGAGCCTCTTATATAGTATGTGTCTTCCCATTCAAGTCCATAGTGAAGTTTAACCTGTACGTTAGGCACAGTCAAGAGAGATTCACATGGCTGAGTTGGGATTTGTCTAGTGGATAAAGGCACTTTGCCATGCCAGACTGGTGACTTGAATCCTACATAAAAGTGGAAGGAAAGAACAGACTCTTCAAATTGTCCTCTGACCTGTGCCAGAGTGCACACACACATCAATGAGAATAATAGTATTTAGTATTGCAGGCATTGCTGTGCTGAGATAGTCGGCTGATACTTGAGCCAGTAACAAAGATGGCTACTAAGTTACCAATGCCTAATAGCATATACAGTGTGAAGCAGCAGGACTCCTATCCCAGGCAGAAAGGTGTGAAATGATGCAAATGTTCATCACGTCAATCAGAACAGTGTACAATGTAAAACTTAGGAGTCATTTCTGAAACTTTCCATTTAGGATTTTGCAACCACAGTTGACCACAAATCTCTTCACCACAGAAGTGGAAATTTTGGGCAGGTGTTTTGTTAAACCCATGATTAATGTCCAGTGGGTGACTGGTTATGAGATCCTAACTTGGGAAGTCCTCTCTCTAGGTTGTGTTCCTGCTGTAGGCTCATCCCTCTGATGGTTGGCAGCTCACAATTACTAAGGCTCCTAACTGGCCAGCAGTGTTCATCCCACTGTTAACAACAACGAGAAAGGTTTGTATTAGCCCCAAAATGGTCAGTTTGTCCCCGCTACTGTCTTGGAGTTGGATGTCGATTGGGACATTTTGAAATAGATTGTAGTAACTTCTGAACTCTAATCTTGACCAAGCACAGTATCCTCTGTCCCTGCAGTTAGTCCTCAGGGACATGCTCTTAAGGCTCTTTGGCATCCTGTCTCTTCCGTTCATCAGAGCCCTGAGGAAATAGAAGGTCAACTTGGATGAGATTTTGAAAATAATGAAGGAGTGTGGAGAGAGAGTGAAGTCCACAGGGAGTGAAACTGTGGGACTGTATGTTGTTTGGCATGAGCCATCCATGTCAAGGACTAAAAGCCTTGAACCCATGGGAAGCTGGCAAAAACAGTTCCCCTAGATCAGGTTCAGAACAGCAATGAACCCTTCCTCTGGTCCGAGTGCAAGCATTTATAGTGTGCACAAGTAAGAGTGTTATGAACGACTGACCAGTGTGTACAAAAATAACATCCCTGACTTCCTCCTTCTGGATGTTTAAACCAGAGAATGCTCACCCACTGACACCTCCTACCCGGCCTGGCCAACCCCTCCTCCTATGCTGTCCATAATAAACTTGCTGAAGTGCTGGATTACTGCAAAGTTGGTGCCGCTCCACCAGAGTGTGCACGGCCCGCCCGACCCAGCCTTTCTGTATCTGTGTGTGCTCTTTCTTCATTCCCTTATCACCTCGGTTAGGTTTTGTAAAAGAGTTATTTACAGCTCTGTGGGCAAGTTTATGAGAACAAGACAGATGCTACAATAGCAGGCATGTCCAACTTTCCTATGTTGCCACATAATGTCACCTATGAAGTTGATGATTGAAAGCCACCTGAGTTACCCCCACCAGAAAAATTGTCATAGAGGTCTTTATAATGTTTTAAGTGGATTTATGATTTTATGTTAGGCTGCACTGATAGCCATCCTTGGCTGTGGGTAGCCTGAGGGTCACAGGTTAGAGAGCTGGTAATAAGAGGAAGCCATTTGTTACCTACCCTATGCCTAACAGAGCAAGAAAGGTAATTGGAATCCATTTGGAGCTGGAGCCTGGTTTTTTTTTTGTTTGTTTGTTTATTTTTGTTTTGTTTTATAAATTGTGTATATTAGTGTTTTGCTAGAATGTATGTCTGTACCACATGTATGCTTGGTTACCACAGAGGCCAGAAGAGAGCATTGGATCCCCTGGAACTGGAGTTCTAGACAGTTATCAGCTGAGACTCAAACTTGGGTCCTTCATAAGAGTATCAAGTGCTCTTAACCAGGAAGCCAATTCTCCAGCTCTTGATTTTATTGTTTTTGTTTTAGTTTTGTGATCCTGGGGCGCAAACGTGGGGCTTTGTATGTGTGAGGAGCAAGTCCTATAACACTGAGGTACGTCCTCAGTGAGCTTGCTTGTTCCCCCTCAATATGGTATATGTGTGAGAACAAGTTCACCTTTGCATGCATGTTTAGGACAGAGGTCAGTGTTGGGTGTCTCCTCAATTGCTGTCCACCTTTATTTTTTATTAGTGTGTCTTCACATGATATGCATGTCGGGGAACACTTATGTGCCATGGTGCCTATGTGGAGGTCACCAGCCTTGCTTAACAGTCTCCTTTACTGGCCAAGCCATTTTGGCAAGCTTCCACTTTATTTATTTATTTACTTATTTATTTTGAGGCAGTCTCTTCTCTCAGTGAACCTGGCACTCACTGATTAGGGTCAGCAGCTGGCCATCAAGCCCAGGATCCTTAGCCTCCCTAGGGCTGGGGTTGCAGAGACTTGCTGTTGTGCCTGCTTTTTAAGCAGATGGTGAGGAGTTGAGCTGGGTCCTCAGGCTTGCATGGTAAACGCTTTGCTGAGTGCTCTCCCCAGCGCCCCCCCCCCATAACCCTTTTTTTTTTTTTTTATTATTTTAATTTTGAGAGAAGATTTCACTTCAGGAATTCAGGTTTTGAATTTTTAATCCTCCTGCCTCAGTTTCTTGAGTAAGCAGAATTACAGGCCTAGCTTCCAAGGGTTTTCAGACAAGAACTGTAGTCATTAGCGACACAGCCACTGTTAGAATGTACAGGAGGTCAGGGAGAGAGTGGAGCAAGAAGGATTCATGCTCTTTCTTGTCCTTGAACCTAATGAGATGCCACCAGGGCAAGGAGACTATAGGAGGCAGACTGTGGGGACAGGTTCTTACATTTTCTTCAGCAGATGCTGGATCCCAGAGGAGAGAACTGGAGGGAGAATCGGACCTGGTGACCCCATCAAAATTGTCTCTTTTTCTAGCAGAGATACAGCGTTTTATTAGTACAGCCACATCGTGGGAGTGGGGGCTCTTCATTCTGCCATCTGTACCACAGGGTCTCTTACTGAGCTTGTTTGTGGCTCCTAAGCCCTGCCCTTCCTTATCTTGGGTTTACTCAATTGAAATTTTCGAAACCAAGTGCAAGATCTTGTTTTCCTGTAAACTATAAAGCTGCAATTCTGTTCAGCCCATCTGTGAAGCCAGTGGCCATAAATGGTCAAATAGGAGTGCACACACATGGCTTCTCACAGGGCTGGCCATCACCTACTCCAGCTAAGACAGTTAAAGAAGGCTTGAGGCTAGTGTGAAAATGACTGTTGCTGGTGAATGTGTGCCTGTAACCCATAAACTCTCAACTGTAGTGACTTCGAGCTGGGTCTCTCTCTGCATCATGTGTGAGTTCACAAATCCATGCTGTGCAGAATCTGCCTTCTATTTCCTTCTTAGTCTTCATGACTCCTTAGAATCATGTGTGTTGATATGCTGACAAGCTATTTTAGGGCTTCAGCATGGACTTCTCATGGGACCAAGGACTACCCTTCATCATTTGATACCTGCCTGCTCTGTCCCACTGTAGGACACAAAGATT